TCATATACATGGGTGCAACTGATAACAAAAAGAATTAATCCGTTGGTCATCAAATTTGGTGAAGGTACCCCGTAACTTTTTAGTATTAAGTGACTTAGTTTATCACAATAGTGACTGTGTTAGTTAAATTGTAAACTATACAAAAAAATACCGTTGAGTTGAAAACCTTCACCTCTTGGTAGTCGGTAGAAAATAACTTCAAAACTAGTGAACACATTGCGCAATAAAAAAACACATATATGTATATGTAGTCAAATTAAGAAACTCCTCGTTTTAAGTAAGTTGAATACTGATTGATAATGTGAATTTATTCAAAGTGCAGTTGCTGTTCACAAAAACTTGTTAAATATAAATAGAACTCGGAATTAGAACATGTTTTGTTAATATTGCTGTGAAAAAATTCTGTTAGTTTTTTCGGATCAATTTATCTACTACACCTTTCCGGATTTTTTATAATCTATTAAGAGGGCAAAAAATGGCATGCATGATGTGGTAATAGACTGGCAAAATATGTCTAATATTCTGCTATTAACAGTACAACGTATAGGTAAATTCAGTGTATAGTGATCACAAACCTTGATAAAACGGTAATTTAAAACTTGCAGAGTGGGTAGCAAAACTTAGGACCGTACCATAAGGTACCTATAACAGTGTACATGTTTACGAAATCAAGTGTAAATAAATTGATAAAATAATGATTATGATTTCAGAAACTTTATGGATTCTGTAATGTAACTTGAGATACTTATTATAGTGATGTACTGTTGAATAAGTATACATTTGAGTGACTACACATATTAAATAGGGATCGTAGTATAATAAATATTGATATTAAATTAGTATATGAACTAGACTCCAATCCCTATATCATACAATACATCATGCTATCATATTATTAAATATTAGTTCACTCTTAGATCAAAGAGCACGGAACTACTAACATTTACACAGTCATATACTTAGGAAACAGAATTATGGTTATACAAACATTATTATCATTAACCGAACTATAAAACTTAGATTAAGGAGCACGCTCGTTAATATAACCAATAAAACGTTTAACTAAATACGAAGCAATAATGATTGATACAGAAATACAAGGATTTGTGTGTAAGAAGAGCATAAATTGGAAGACTTGTATTTTGAATAAGCACACGTGTATGGAACTGTTAGATATTTTTTAGCGGATGTTTCTGGTTATATAAACTCTTCTTATAAAGAGACATTTTTATTTAAATCGGTAAAGTATCAAGATATTAGATATTATAACGATAAACTATAAAGCATTATATACGATTACAAGAAAACTTCTATCTATAGAAAGTAACATTATTATGTTTCTGTTAACTTCAACTGCAATTTATTTAAAAAATATAGGAAACCTTTCAAATTATTGAATTTGTGTAATACCGGGACGATAAGGTAGTTAATTTGTATAATCACGCACAACATGAAATACAACAGTGTAATATATGTATAACAAAAAGAAATTATAAATACAATACTTTTGTAGCACGTGAATATATCAGATAAATGTACTGAAAAAAAAATGACATAGATAATTGATTTTAAAATATCCTGCGGTATTATTTATTTAATTGGCTTCAATGCACACAATTTACAAAATATAGTAAAGTATATTTAGAGGACTTGAACACCATGAGGCATTTTCTACCAGTCAACTGTAGGTGGTGCAGAGAATAGATGTTGGCGGTGCAAATATAATAAATGATAAATAAAATGCAACAAAATATAAACAGAAATAATAAAAGAATATCAATATTATCCTGTTTCTTTTTCTAAGAATGTATATCTGTCATAGATATTTTGTCTGTATAAATACGATTATATAATGGTATTAACGGCATACATAGTTGTTATTACCTATCTATGTCAGATTACATAATCTGTGGTGGGTGAAATATTTAAATAATCTAGAAAGTATACGTTATCCTTGTAACTTTTTGATTTATTATTATAAGTTAAATAATGCAACGGAGATATATAACATCATATTAGATTTAAATTATGTAAAAATTTTGTGATATATTAATAAGTATTACTCAATTTATACATAATTAAAATAATTAAACTTAGTATAAGCTTAAGGTCACATGCAAGGACACGTCCATCACTAAAACATCATGATACGGATTTCCATCCTCGCAAATTAATAGTCAGGCATATTATTTTAAGAAAATATTCATATGGGATTTCATTATAATTATTGAATTATAATATTTTTAAAATAAGATCGAAGACTTTTAAAGTAATGTAATTCCTTAATATTTAAATAAAAATATTAACAATAATTATTTATGTTATCGTTGGTATTTATGGGGAATGAACGTCATTATTAGTTCATTCTATACTTACTTTAAAAATGTATAATAACTAACCATTGAGACAAAAGGACATATCGTGTTTGTGTTGATCATGAAATTAACATGACAATAAATATATACATACGTTAATATACATAAGTAAAATCAAACCTATGAAAGAACCTTTATTAATACAGTTTTATTACAATACAAAATAAATTAAACCAATATTCTAAAGATATCGACGGGATCCTTTGAATAACAGTTCCGTTCATTTAAAGTATTATTTAAAGAACTTAGTACGTTTTAAATTTAATTATTATTTTATTGAAATTAATTTATATGCTCAAAAACATTGCATGACAGTGGAACATAAATGTTATTATAGTTGATTGAAAATAAATTGAACAGCCAAATGCAACTAGTACTTATCCGGAAAAACTTGGATGGTTAACATGGTCTATGGTCATGTAGAACGTTGTAATTGAATACCATAAGATTTTACTCCGACTTCTACCCCTTTAAGGAAAACGTTTCTCACGGTTAGGCAGCATTACCTACTTTCACTAAGATAGATTACTGAGATGAATCGATGCACCAATATGCAGCAGTATTGCAAGTTGCAATGCGCGTGCATTAAACATTTGAACCAAGAATGTAACTGCTTTCGCTCGTTTGAAGGAAAGCGGTGCATGGTATAACTAGAAGCAGATTTATCACGTCTGATAAAACGATTAAGTTCGTTGCCGGGGTTACGATTAATTATGTAACATCTAAAGAAAGTGCTATATTAACTTTGATGTGATTATGTAAGTCGCGTGATATCCTCAGCGCACTATCTGTTTCAACATGCAATATTGAAAGTTTTATCACATGAACGTAGCATGATGTATAAATATTAAAATTAATATAGAATATATTAATTACAATATCGTTATGATCAGTATATTATTTTGTATATGCTATTTAAATATAATATCATGTAAATATAAATATAATATTTTTGTAAAGAGAATTATGAATATGAATAGAAAAAGTGTAACAGAATATTATTTATTTACTAGGTATAGGTATAGGTACTACCCAGCTTCGCACGGGTGCACATGTATTATACATATGTATAAACCTTCCTCTTGAATTACTCTATCTATTAAAAAAAACCGCTTCAAAATTTAATATTAAATATAAATTAGATTGAAAGTCAACTACGAAACATCACTACGAAGTTTAATTAAATTACCGATTTCTAGGAAATTTCTTGTAACAAGTAAACTTCAATAATTTAAATTAAGTTATTGTTTTCACTTAATAATTCGTTCCAGTACCTAATGAAAGATAATAGTTTTACAACTCATCATAATTACAATTTACAAATTATGAATTTATGACAAACATTAGAAATATCTGCGTCCAAAACGTATATATTTATTAGTTAATAAAGAAAATAATATAAGAGTGACTCACTCTGTAATTAAGTATTAAATTTATTAAATTAGTTAATTACTTTAACCCTAATTCATAATTTTTACTTAAACAGAATTTGTACTTACTTATGAATTTAAACAGAAATTCCCTTTTAATATAAATGATGCTATGGGTATATTACAAAAAGGATTGTTATTTATTTAAAATTCTCTCTAAATAGATTAGAATTACTGACAGCCGACCAGAAGTTACTCATATATATAGACAATGAACCGTTTAACACAATAATGATATATATACTTATAAAGCGAGCAAATATAAATAAAACTGAACTTGATTAAAGTCTACTTAGTTATAAGGTTAGTTAGGACCTACTATATATCTCTAAATATAATCAAACAACTGAATTTATACACATTTACAAACTTGTTTGTGGTACACAATTTTTCAGAATCGTCTTATAATTTGACTCGTTGAGTAATAGTAATAAAATAGGTCTGCAAAAGCTATTGGTGCCATTCAGAACTCATAGTGTTCTGAAAACATAGTTAATTGTGTCTACTGTGTACGTGAAATCTATTTCGTCACCTGTATTGTTATAATTTTATACGGGTTTTAGTTTCCCCATTTTCCTTATGCAAATTTATAGTAAATTATACTTAAAATTTTTATTTATGCAGGTATATTATATTGTATGATACAGACATCTATTGTTTAACGTTATGTACAATCTTAAGAGGATCTGTTTTAACATTCTTCTATATTTATGTAAACACATATCATCAACATTTTTCTAACACTTCTGTTAGCAATTGATAAATGTTGTTTCAAAATATACACAAAAAATATTTGGTAAAATTGTTGATAATATTTGTTTTTATTTCATTTAATTACCTAATAATAGAAGTCGTAAATTAATGTTACACTGACTACTAGTTGGGTTGTAAGCGGGGTTAAACATGCACATTACTATTCACGATTGAAGGCTTCAACCAGAGAGAACATGAGTTTCCTTTAGTTTCTATTGCATTAAAATTATATAACATTTTTTTACCTATATATTCAAATATTATAGCAAATATTTACGAAGGGCATTATTTTATTTTATTGTAAATATTAGCTATTACGTGAAAGTGTCTGCACTAGAAAACAACTATATGTTAAAATTAGGATAAAACAAATCTAAGTAATAAAACTTTAACAAAAGAAATATTACTAATTAATATCTAAATAATAAAAGAACGAAGTTACCTTGATACGTTACAGGGTGGTTCCGTAAAAAATCCTTCACAAAAATATATGCGTTCCAATACACTGGTATCTAAAATCACGTATCACAACAAGCAGTCAATTTCACCTAAGCACTGTTTCGGGATACATTTTAAACAATTTAAAAATCGAATGGATCGTATTCGAAAGTCGGTTTAGTAAGGTGCGCGGGCGCAACGTGCGACGGTCGCTCACGAGGTAGAACGAGTGTTGTCTGTGGCACCCCACTCCGCTGGCTGTTGAAACAGTCGCAGATAAGGACCACCTCTACTTACTGTATCCCGCTGCGAGGGCTCTGATCCTTTATGAGGAGAGTCTATGAACTTTCGTTACAGTTTTTTTCTCATTGTTGACTTTCAAATATTCTATCATGGTACATTTATGTCTAACGGGTTTCGGCTCTACCTAAGCTATTTTAATAGTTTAGTTAGAGATTGCCGCGTAACATTATAAAAATATCCAGGATGTAAGTATATTAAAGTCTATCCAGAGGTAATATGACATACAGCGTGTGTAAAGAGATAAATATCAAAGTAAATAATGAATAAATCAGATAAATAGTTGTAATGAAATATGAAGTAGGTACTGTAACATATGACATGTTGGTACTTATGTCATTCGTGCTATGTGCATTCTTTGCAAATTATGTCAATTATGTACTTGTATAATAACTAGGCGTAGTCAGACTATGAAAAATCGACTTCAATCGGAACTTAAAGATAAATCAAAAACAAAAACTTTATACAGTGCCTCGTAAGCAGCATAAGTTCTCAAATAAAAATAAAGAAATGTAAACAAATTCGACTCTCCTAAAAAACTGAAGTTAGACGGATAATTTTTTTATCCGTGTAACTTCAGTAGTCATATATTCTTATTTTTGAAGTCGATTAAAAAAGATAAACTTCTACAAAAATAAAGTATTATACAAGTAAATGTTTACAAAAATGTATGTTGCTCCAAAAATTATCCAATTCATTATATATTTATGAAATAATGGAATAAGCATGGCAATACTTACATGTACGTAAGTAAGCTATTATTTTTTGTGTAACAAAGGCGTCTAACCTGAAAGCAATAACGTGATCAAGTGCTCGTAGTAATCTGATAGTCTTTTGTTTCACATTTCCTCTAGTGTTACAATGTATGGGGGTAGTCTGTTTTAACAGAATATTTATTATTAAGATTAATATTTTTTATTTCTAATGTTACAAATATCAATTAAAAAGAGATTTTTAAAATTAGAAATTTATACATATTGGTTTGTACGGGTGTTTATCACCTAAATGCTCATAAACAGCTGGATTATTTCGGATGTAATTTTGGGTATATATTTCAATTAGTACCTGTATAGTTTGAAAATACTGTTGTAGTTGGAAGACGGCGCTGCTGCTTGCTGTAGAGCACGATGTTTGCCATGTCAGGTAGTCCACTAATAAAATTTTAGTCCACACATAAAAATTGAAGGAGTAATTATATAATATTTTAATTGATTTTAACTGCAGTAATATATTAAACACCGGTTTTAGTAGTTATGTAATTTTATTCTATGCAGTTTATATAAATGTTGTATTTATGTACATTTCATATAAACGGTAAATTTACCATAATAATACAGTTTTTGAGAGTAATAAATAATATTATAATAACAGTAGCGACCCGTTCCGGCTTCGTACTGATGCATTACAAATCTTTGAATTTCTCGGCTTGTTCTATACTATAACACTCATGTATTATACATACATTATTATACATATTCCTTATTACATTATACTTCTTGACTTCTCTTGATTAACGCTACCTATTGCTAAAAAGTTCATTAAAATCAGTTCCGTAATTTAAAAGATATAAATAAACAAACAAACAGACTGACAGTGGCGGCGACATTATTTTATGCTATGTAAAGATGAACAATTGTAAATAACTATGAAAAAAGATTAAAACAAGGAAGTACTTTTTGTATTTATTTATAGATTCTGTCCTGTATTATACCTATACATATCTTACCGAAAAAAGTTTGTGACTTCGTTTATGTGGTTGGAATGGCAAACAATCTGACGACCACTGGAAACATCCGTAGACATTGACGAAACCTTGAGCAAACACAAATTACACTTAAAAACCCATGCTTCCTCATATACTTTGCCATGCGGTGAGTAACACTTCAAATGCAGTAATAGAATTATTGTGTTCTAAAATATAAGACACATGCTATCCTACAGGTTCCATTACACTATAGTTTCAGTCCGAGTTTCAAACAACTAACTTTGCATTATACAAAAATAAGAAAACAGCTAACATATTTATAAAAAAGTTAGCATACAAATATAATGAGAATGAAATGAAATTTATATCAGCGGATAAATTATTACATATTCTATTATTCATTTCAACTGGTATTTGAAATTACGAATTCCCAATGGAAAAATACATACACAATGTAATAAGTAAGGAAACTGTATAGCTTTTTCCCATTTTTTAAAAATATGAGTATAGAAAGTCACTTATTAGTACAGAAACAATATTTAAATAATATTTAAGTTACTTGATTTTAGTATTAAAATATATTGTCAAAAATTTACATATAGTTTATAACTTTAGATGTTCGGAGTAATCTCCGATATTAAAAATTATTTTTGTATTGGACAGTCTATTTATTAAAGTCGGCTATATAAGATCACGCTAGAAGCAATTGAAATATTATGTTCTTTTTTTGTAATCTTTAAATAAAAGACAATCGGAAAGAAATATAATAAAATACGTCAGCTTTCAAACAAAAACGCATCGTATAATAAAAAAAAATAAACGGTTTATTCTTTTTGGAGGTATGATGCCACAGACAGACACACAGGTACACAGACAACTCAAACTTATAACATCCAAATTTAACGTCGGGGGTTAAAAAGAAATAAATATACCCTGAATTGTAAATATCTTTATTCATAATACTCATTCACTTACAATTCGAGGTGATTCATATTTAATATGATGTCATCTATATGCACTAGGTTTAACTAATGTTTCTGCAAGTAGATATTTACGTTGACCTTCCTACTTGGTGGAATTGCCTGGAGACAAGGATCGGTGGCCTCCCAGATAGAGTTATGTGACACATTCGCAGATAGGTATCCTAATAGCTTAGTAACAATTTGGTGCGCGGGACCGACACACCCACATTGCATGCACTGGTTTAAACCCTCGTATACACATTTGGTGAAATTAAAACATAATTTCAAGCATTATATTCGTATAAACACACATACATTTTATATTATATTCTAATTTAATCTAAAATATTATGGACTTTTTAATAAAAAAATGAACATAAAATGTATAATTTTTAATTATATTTCTCAAAAATATCCAAAAAAAGGAAATCTAATCGTAATGTATAGTTCCTTTGCATGCTTCATATAAATAGATTTTGTAAGTGCCATGTCTTCATTAACATTTTGTACTATATCTACCCAAAATCATTCACAAATAAATTAATAATTATTATTAAAGGCTGACTGCGTATTTCCACAGTATTTAATTGTTATTATAATTTTTTAAACTACATTCAGGAACTGAAATAAATATATATGGTTATTATAACTGAATTTATAAGGTTGACTAGTTTCACTTGCACTTACGGAACTTGAACCCGCATCTTTTGTTCAGACAGAGGTACTGGAAATTGCAGCACATTTGATGTACTAAGAAGATAATATTAATTAAATATTTAACGAAATGGTGCTTTATGTCTTCCTTGCAAGGTTTAAGATCAAATAATTGTTGTAAAACTTAAAGCGAGTGTGAATCTTATTGTATTATGAATGTTGTATGTCGTTGATAAAAAATATGCTCATGACAATAAACCCAAATATTCTAGTTAGAATCGTTGTGGTGAATGTACCTCTCCATATATTATCTATTGCTGAGCATATTTGAGTGAGCAAACAGATTTGAACTCACGACCTTTGATATTTTATGGGCTGCGGTAGTAAACAACTAGTCCACGCCGTTCATTAGTATTAATTGCATGCAAATTCTATAAAATTACACATCGGTACAATTATTTGCTTTATGAAAATTAAAACAAAAATGAAGTTATACAACTTGCAATATCCAAGCGTAATCTAATTTACTCTTAGAATTGTATGGTAGATTTATGAAAGAAACATAAGAACTGGATTATCTAAAGGAAGATTATGTCAAAATAGTTATATTCTATCAAAATCGTCAACCGTTTCAATGTATTTCTTATTAATATTTTCATATTCTTCGTAGTTACTATAAAGGGTAATACTATCTTATCTATGGTAATACTAAAACATATATGAAAATACACCTTAATACGGACATTAGTTGAACTTCTATCTATTATCTTAATTCTAGTTAGAGTAGGCGTGGCCGTAAACTTGTGTAGATAGACAGAGTCATATGATGTTATCCACATCTTAGATGCATTAAATGTTATAACAAAATAAGAAAATATTACATTTTCAATAACCTCATTCTGTTCTATGTTACATTGCATGTTTTAAAAATATTGTCTTCATTTTATTTGCTTATAGGAAATGATTTTATATAAAATTTCTGTTAACATTTAAAAATATTTTGTAAATGCATATAGAATACATAAAATAGGTCAGAAATGTTACTTAAATAAAAATTTGGAAATGAACAGATTTTGTTAAAAATCTAAGGAAAATAATGCAATTCTCAAACAATTGTTGCATTGAAATCAGTTCATAATTTTAAGAAGGCATGTCGTGATCGTCATAGCATATCTTTTTGTATTGCGGATTAAAATAATTAATTGCAATATTTCTATTTTGCAGTGAAATGACTACTGCTGGTAGAGACATAACACGGGCTTCTCTTCGTATCTATAGATTGACAACTGTATTCTTCAGTTGTTATTGCAGTTGTATAAAAAACTTTTCTAATAATATTATTTAATCGGTAGAATAGTCTCTCTTATTTTCTTAAGACTTAAAAATAAAAATATATTAAAAATTTCTATACAAGTACGAGTAGATCTCTTAGTGTATACAATCTATAGGATAATCTTGATGTCTTCATAGACATCTCGATTATTTACTTATCCTATTTATGACCGACTTCCGGGCGAGCATTGCCCATAAAGACGCTACACTGCATCTGACATTATATTATTATTGGATGACCGATGTTGTATTG